GGCCACATGCGCATCCACGAGAGATGAATTGACCGCAGTCTCGACACACCTAACACATCGAGCACGTCTACCATGCCTAGCCCAGCCCCCACTTCACCGCGCCGCACGTCCACCGCCACCAGCTCCATCACACCCAGTGCATCCTTTACACCCATCAGACTCAACCCTACTAGCACCGTCGCCCAGCGCCCCTACCACCACCGGATCCGCCACCACCATCACCGTAGCTGGTACTGACACCACCGACTTCTCGTGTTCGCACTGTCTCCGCACATTCACCTCATGCATCGGTCTGGTCGGTCACTTGCGAATCCATCGCACAGAGACTAGCTAACCAGTGCCTGGAGCGCCAACCTGCACTCGCCGCATCCGTCTCCACTGTCCACATTGCACTCGCACATTCATGCACCGCATGGGTCTCTTTGGCCACATTCGCAACTAAAAAAACCTGCGATAGACAATTGCCGGCTGCGCCACATCATCACATCCTCCCTCACCAGCACCTCATCGCACATCAACATCACCAAGCACAAGCGGCGCAAGTGGGAGGTGTGCGTCTTGACTCCGTCTCCATGCGTCACCCCACCTGCATGTGTGACTCGACTCTGAGACTGTCACGGTACGCAAAACGTCACGGCTTGGAAGACTGCTAATGACTCTTTAACTCAGTCCACTTAGTCCGTCCAGCTGTGTGTATGTGTGTTTGTGTGGAGTGACGGGCTGGTGGGCTGACAGGCAGGCTGAAACAACTCCTTCTAAACGTGACCTACGGCGCCCTCACGCATGTGAGATGTACGCCACTCAATCCCCGTTGTGTGAAATCCTGGTGCTTGTGTTTGGGGAGCCAGGTCGTGCGTGTGTGTCACACAAACAGGGTCATTACATGTGTCAGCCACCGCTTCTATTGCCCGTACCTTCAACTAATCGGTCAGGACAGTGACTGAGGTCTGAAACTGGGAAGGGAGCGAGGTCGACGGCCCAGCGCATTTTCTTCACCAAAACAAATCCGAGGCGCTTGAAGCTATCACGGTGCGCTAAAAGTCGTGGTTTGGAAGGTTGTCAACTGACAAGATAACTTGGACCTCGCGGTCGGCCCAATGTTGTGCGTTTGTGTGGAGTGGGCGGCTGGTGGTCTAAGATTCAGGCTGAAATGGCTAATTTTTAATGTGACATATATGCCACTTCCAGTCCGTGGGATCCTAGTCGGGTGTGGTGGCACGCTTGGGTGCCGAGCCGGTCGTGCCAGCAACCTGCGCCCTGCCGCGCCTCCGGTCTTCTTGACTCCGGGTCCAGGTGGGGATGAGAAGATAGAGAGTGCGGTGGATGCTGCGAAGTCTACTATCACTCTAAACTAATTCACACACAAGTCCCTGTGGCTGCTGCACCTTGCTGTGGAGCACAGGGTGGACATCGCCGAACCCGACGGTCGAACTGTCGGGTAGCTCGGGACGTTTGTTGGTAAAAGAAACTTGAGACCAAAGGTGAGCTCCCCAAATTTTGCTTGCCCTCATGCGGAGAATTCCTCAGAAAATCAGAACAAGAACCACCGGGACCGCCAACAGTGTCAACTTGTTCAAAGTTAGTCGGCATCAAATTAAGTCAACCCTCAAGAGAGTGTTTCAGAGATCCTCAATTCTTCCCAGCTTCTCCCCTCAGACGTAAATGTAAAAGTCCAGAGAGCTTTTCAAACAAGGAAAGGGGTAAAAATAAGGCAGGAACCCTGCGACCGCAGCCTCGCGAAATTGTGCTGAAGGGCAAAGAGTAAACTAAGTTCATCCTGTCCATCAAAGCCCGCTTCTGGTATTCTCATGCAGAGGGGTTTGTCAAGCGAACAATTATATGGCTGAATTTCCGAAAAGTTGGAGACTTTTCTCGAAATTCATATCGAGATGGAATCCCTGCCAGCACATGACCCCTTCATAGGCGGGGCTGGGTGGGGCCAGAGCCCCGCCTGCCAGCACATGGCTCCTTCATATGCGGGGCTGGAAAGGGCTGGGTGGGGCCAGAGCCCCCTCTGCATTGAAGCATTTTTAAGCGTATTTGCATCGAAAGGTATGTTTCAAAAGCACCACTTATTGTACCTTCTTTGGAATTAAAAGGAGCTAATTTATCAAAATTGGCTTATAAATCATGGAGAAAGCATCCGTTTACGCCCACTGCATGTAGCTGCGGATGAGCACAATATATTGAGGTTTTGTTTAAGTCCCTCATTGCGTAAACTCTTATTTGTCCACCGGTTTACAATCTGTGTGTGTTATTGTAACGTCCCGTGATCTGTACAGGGTTGTTTGAATGCCGTGGCACTTTTGGCGCGCGGACCTAGGATGGAGATGGCGTAGCCGCATGTTGGTGAAGATGGCCGGTGTCCCTTCCACTCTCTTCCGCCGATCCCCTCTCCCGCTCCGTATCGTGTCGTAACGTTCGTACCGCTGCCCTCACTACATCGGCAACTCCCTCGGCCCTTCCTTGCAGTTGCCCCCAGCGCTGCGCTCCCCACCGGTTGTCCAGCTGGCATGTTGGCCTAGCCTCTCCACCCAGACAGGTCATTCGACTGTTGTAACTCATCTCGCGTGTACTTTTAACTGTCATTATACTCCTTTGCAATTCCCTTTTCTGTTCATTATATCTTCTCGTCCACCGATCGTTTCTTCTTCCTTTATGTATGGATGAGTATCGTGAACTGCTAACAATCGTATTCAGATCAACACAAGCCAGGATCTCCTCCTCGGTATTCCGTTACGTGGTTGTGCGCTACCCTTGACGTCCTCGGCCGCTACATTATTAATTCGTATATTTGACAATCGGTTGCAGATAATATCGTGAGTCAACCAATGCTGCTTTCATGCTCTTGATATCTGTCTTAGTTAATTTATGTATATTATGCTAATTGTTTGGGTATCTACTAACCAGCCAGTTCAAGTAGTGGACTTGTATGTCTATGTATGTACTATTTAGCCTTGGTGTTCGTAGTCCACTTATACAAATTGTTTATCGTTTCTTACTGAACATCCAAAGCAATTATGAAGCATAATCACTCTGGCTATCACCGAAGCACCATATACAGGCGCATTAAGCGCCAGATGAAGGCATATTATGAGGCCACTGAAGAGCCTGAGCCTGAGGTTCCATCAACGTCCACGGCAGTTGGCAATCAGTCCCCCGAACGAGAAATGCCTATACTGAACTCTGATACTTCCGCTGATAGGCATTATGAGCGTGTAAACGAATAATGGGTGTAGAGTCCGTGGAAGACATGGACGACACAAACGCAGTTGGAGGCAAGTCCTTTCTGGAGGCCTTGAAAGAATACGCCCTGGAAGTGCAAATGCCTACAGTGAACTTAATTAATGTGAAAATTGTCATTTAAATTTTAAAGTATTACTTCCCTTCCGTCGACAATGTGTCTTCCAAACAATTGTTTTTCTTCAATTATAGGAACCAGCCGTCGATGCGGGGACTTCTGGAACGCCAAACTGAATGGCATAACATATGTTGAAGTCCATGTATATACTGGCACTGACATTTATTATGATTGTACATATTTTCCAATTCCTTTTTCGTTTATACAATAAATAACTCACTCACGTGAATTTGCGTCGCGTGTTTTTGATATTGGCTGCTGATTAGTGGGTACATGTACGGCGGGGTCACTGTGAGTACTATGTAATACCGTAGTACTCTACGTACGCAGGGTGGGTTTCGACGTGTAACATGTGGGAACAGTGAGGCACTGCGCCTCAGGGGGACTCGCCATACGGGACGATATTTTAAAGTGGTGCCAATAGTGGGCTGGGATGCGGCGTCCCCTGCGCATTTTTTTTCGCTGGCGGGACCAGGCGGGGCTATCGCGTTGCATGCCCCGCCACAGCCCCGCCTAGCCCCCTCATGGCCCCCTCTAGCCCCGCCATTATTGAGGGGGCCAGGCGGGGCTGGTGCTGGCAGGGATAGTAGCAAACGCAACCTCACTATCTCTCAGATGAAAGCCGTTCAGAGGAATACGCTGTTTAAGTTGAGTCAGCCAGTAGTATTAAGGACAACAGCAATTATTTTGGTAGTGCAGACACGATTATAGAATCAGTCGTTCAACGCCTCAACAAAGTTGGACCGGCACTGCCCAGCATTCTAACAAAAAAGCAAGCCCAACCAAACACATAATAAACGGAGCAAGCCTGCAAAATGGCGTCCGGAATGGTGAAATAAGGTCCGGAGCAGTGACAAGCGCAACCGGAAATCAGGCTGGTGCGAAGTGGATCTGCTTGTATACAAATGCCCAGAGCCTGATATCCAAACTTTATGAACTACAATTTGCACTACCGGGCTGTCGTCGAATGAGATATCAGTGACCCAAAGCCGGCTGTCCTGCACCACTGGTGATTAAGAGGTAATGTTGTTTAGATACCAAATATATCGGGGTAAAGGGGATCCGTCAAGGTGGCGGTATAATTGTATATGTGGCAACAAGTTCTGGCGGTGATAAAAGGACCACTACGTTTGGGCACTGCAAGAAAGTTATTCAGTTGAGCATCAAGGCCGTTGGCTGCCCCTGTCTCGACGTCCTCGTCAGCAAAGACAGATCAAATCGCCGACACTCACCGTCAGGAGAAGATGAAAAAAACTCTAGTCGACCTAGAGTTGTGAGCACTGGCAACTTTAACGAACCAGGAATTAACTGGAGCACCGTACATCCATCGCGCGTAACATTACCCGCCATATGCCTTTTTTCATAAAACTTTGAAGGAACTTCTCACACAACACTTGGTGGTTCCAATAAGAACATGTGAATGGTAAAGGGCTTACTGTATGGATATGGTTTTTACGAGAATTTGATAGCGCGTTGACGATGTCATCTTCATGTCCCTGCTTAACCGAAGTGATCATGTGGCTCTTGCATGTTTTTTCGTAATTTTCCGTTTTGCATAATCTAGAGCAAAAACACAGCATTTGGCAAAGTTAACTCAATCAGAAGAAGTGCTTAACCGCCTATGTGAATGGTCCGACAAATGGCTGCTGAAGTTGAACCAGAAGATCAGAAGAAGAAGAAGAAGAAGAAGAAGAAGAAGAAGAAGAAGAAGAAGAAGAAGAAGAAGAAGCGATCGCTGGAACAAGGCCTTTATTCGCCCGACTTTTCGGATTCTCACTTGAACCCATCATCAGAGGCAGTGGCAGAAAAGGGTGACTCGTTCACAGGACGTTGCAGTATTTATTGGATGCAGTCGCAATGCTACCGCATACCTATAGTAATTAACCACGCTCCTCTTCATCACGACTTGTTGCCCGCTGGTGCGCTAATTGCGCATGTGCTGAGGCATAGTCTGGACAAAGTAACTGACCTCTCGGGGAGCTCGCAAGCCAGTGAGCCAGATGACCGAGCAATCGTCACGCCAGCACCCAACACGGGTGATGAGATTTCAGCAATTAACAACTTACATACCGGCCATCGAGCAATTAGCGCACCAGCGGGCAACAATTCTTGATGAAGTGGAGCGTGATTAATTACCAAAGGTATTCCGTAACATAGCGACTGCATTCTATAAATACTGAAACTTCCTGTGCACGAAGTACCCTTTTCTGCCACTGTCTCTGATGATGGGTTCAAGTGGGAATCCGAAACGTCAGGCGAATAAGGCTCCTGTTCCAGCGATCGCTCCTTCTTCTTCTTCTTCTTCTTCTTCTTCTCCTTCTTCTTCTTCGTCTTCTTCTTCTGATCGACTAGTTCCTGGAACTCGCATCTTCGCTTGAAGTTGAACCTTGAGAATTGTGCCTCACTGCGACTCAAAACGAAGAACGAGAGAGCAAATGGAGTGGATTATCAATACCTCCTTGACGGAATGTGCCCTTTGAATTTAACCGAACAAAAAGACCTTGGAATCAACATTTGGTCATCTCTGGGGCCCTCTTCTCAACGTGTTAGGGCGGCCAAAGGGGCAACCAGCGTTCTATTAGCCACTAAAAGGACCTCCATAGATATGCATAAGGAAATATTTGGAAAAGTGTATGGGGTTTTTGTTCGTTCGCAACTGGAATAGAAATCTAAGCATGACACCGCTGGCCGAGAAAAGATAATAAGTTGCTGGAAAAGGTTCGAAGGAAGGCGACTAGGATAGTAAAAGGTTCCAAGACTTAATCTTACAGATGCGGGTTTGATGAGCTTAGCCTAGTTTCCTTTGAGTGCAGGCAGATCCGAGAGCTCATACGGACTCAACGCATTGTGTGGAATCGGGACTGTGCCCTGCACATCGGTGATTTATTCGTCTCAAACTATGAGGAGCTCGATCCCACCTAGATGTTCCTAGGCGCTCGTTTTCACAGCGAGATGTCGGTGCCTGGGACGGACTTCTCGACGAAATGATGGTGGCAGAGTCAACAGAAACATTTAGACACAAACTTAATGTTTATGTACTTGAAAAATACCGCGTAACTGGACAGGATGGCTATGTTATACCAAACCAACGCCTTGCGTACATTTACCGCTAATGCGGTTGATTATTATTTCGTAGTAGTTTGGAGAGTTCGTTCGCCAATTCTTTCAAGAATTTGGCCAGACCCGAGGGCTTTGCTTCTTTGAGATTTTGCAGTTCCCTTTCAACGACAGATGTCGGGAAGAGTATGGAGTCAAGCTCAGGACCGGCGGTCTCAGCAGCATTGCTGGCACTGCGATTACGAAACTCTGTTTCCCTAGTAAAAACCGAGGCAAATTACCCTCGAAAGTGTTCAGCTTTTCCGCTGGTCTCAACGATTTCTACACGATTATCATCCTTCGGTACTGCGGCCCCGTCTTTGTTTTTCAGTCTACTGTCAATATAGTGAAATAAAATATTGGGCCTCTATTCAGCCTGTCGGATAATTCTGGATTCATACCCCTTTCATGCCTGACGGATGCATTTTTGACTGTATTTCGTTGACGACGAAATTCTCCGAGATGCACTGGTCACCCAGTTTCTGTGAATATTTTTCATTCTCTGCTTTTCTTCCGTTACTGCCTATTCCAATCCCTAGTTAAACAGGCAGGTCGACTAGGGGTTTTTTGTAGCTTTGGTGGACAACAGCGCCGAATTAGATCAAGTGAGATCGTTTTAAATGATCTCCAGTTGTCCTCCGGATCTTCATTGAGTAAACGCTCCCAATGCACGGAAATCAATTCGTTATTCATCGTGTTAAAATCTGCCTTTCATATAAACAAGCATCAAATATCCATTTAAGCGTGTCTCTTGTGATTGCCGGCGAACATTGAGTGTGACAAAGTCCTCGACGTTTGAGTGAATTTTCAGGTTAATTAATTATTGTGGCCAGCGCAAAGAAGTCTTTTAAGTGTGGAACACATCGCCAATTCCATTGAGTTCACCAAGTCTGTACGATGTTACCTCGGGTCTGCCTGTATTCTACGGTGAACATGTGAAGCACAGCAAATCGACGTTTGTATGCTAAGGATATTAGCCAATTCAGAACTTTCGTTGCTCTTTTTGGGACTTTTTCTGATAACCTTCAGTCTTTTTCAACCAACGGCACCAAGCCTAAATTACTCATTATAGCTACGAAGAATTCATCAATCGCCTTCTTCACAACCTTAGCATCTTGAGGAGAGCCTCGGAACTAACAAACTGGTAGTTCGGAAATTAATCTCTTCAGTGGTATTTTCCAGGGGTTTTAAAGCAAGGACTATTGACATACGTTGGAGTTGATCTGGAGTGTCACACAATTCTCAGTGTTAAACTTGAGAGGTTATTCATGAGGCCATTCACGGAAGCGGTTACGGCAACTATACAGGGTTCGTTGATCGTTATTTTGTTTGCGCATTTGCAAGAATCTTATATTACTCATCAACCTGATGTCTCTGAAGTCCAGTCTTGACGTACAGTCGTCAATATAGACCAAAAACAACAGAGGCCGGCGAACCAAACCGCCAAGAAGTCCAATTCCAATCAGCAGTCCGTAGGTTCCTGTATATCTAAAATTCCCAAGCTTTATAAAATAACAAGTGGTGTAGTAAGCTATCAAAGGCCTTCTTATGGTCGACTTACGTGAAATAGACTACTGTGTCTTATCCTTACACACGAAAAATGTTCCGTTTAATAGATCAGAGGGGGTTTTGTAGAAAACAATATCGTACACCGGTGGGGTCATCCGGTTCCCAAGGAACACTGTGGTTAAATTTTGATGCTGCCTACTGTGATTTTGTTATGAGTATACTTTGGGTTCCCGGTTTCTAGCTGTTTTCTTCCGTTCGGCACCCACGCTAGTGAATTGGGTGCATGTTCGCAATTTTCTAGCCAGAAAAGGACAAACCTCACTGAGGGAACGATTGAAGAATGGACGAAAACAGCCTTGAAAGTCAAGAATGGAGTTTCCCGGCAGTTTGTTTGTATTTCATCCACGCCCGCTGGCTTCGACTCGTTAAGCACACACAGTTCCTTCCGCACGGACTCTTCTGAGACTCTTCATGACTGCATCAGTACCTCGAGTAGAAAAGTCAGGCTGGTTATTATTTGTTCGTTGGTAAGAACAGACGCGAAAACGTGGCCCATGTAAGGTAATTCAAATAATATCTTCGTTGTCGTCTCCTTTCAATACTTCGACCACACCCTCATAATTCGGCCTGAGGTTAATATATCTGATGAGTTCTTCTGGGTTCCTTGTAACTTACGCTGCTTACTTCCTTCGCAACCTATGGAAACTTGACCTTTTGTCGTTGCGCTTTTCGTTAGATTCTTCGAAATACAGAGGCTAATTGTTTTAAACGCCCCTTCGGAAAATATAGCCTTAAATATCTAGACAAATTTGATTCTCGGATTCATTTTTTCGTGGGGCAGTTACGGCGCACAGTATGATTTATGACTACCCTGCTAGCACATGCCTCTGTCCTAAGGGCGGAGTAAAGCTGGAATGGCCGGGATCGTGGCACAGCCCAAGAGAGCGTTCGTTTTTTATTCTTAGCATGATTAATTATTAATTCTGCAAGTTTCTACAGTACAAATAACTCGAGTACGTTCACTGCGTAGACCATCTGGTAGAAGCAATCGTCTAGGTTAACTACTTCCCGTTTGTTTTCGAGGCACTCGGATGGACTGAACCAATTGTTGCTCTATAAACAGATGACAAATGTCCCCGTAAAGGGGGCCATGGCTCTGTTCACCCCAGCTTGCCGAAATTTTAGGACAGAGTCATGTGCTAGAAAGGTCTTTTAAGAATATTCCCATCAACATCTGGGCTTTCATTAAAAGCTGACTACCAGTTTTCCACTGAAATTTGACTGTACTCGACATCGAAATCTTTCCACCAGACATTCTTCTGAATCGCGGTCATCTCCATTGGTTTTACATATGGGGAGTATTCCTAATGGGAGTATGACATAGTAACTCGCGCCGAACGGTGCTGGGGATTTAATGTCAGCAGCATTAATTACATCCCCATCAACGACGAAATGCAGAAAAACTACCCTCTCCGATCCTTGTTGGAAATACAACATTCTGCACGATGAGGAGTTTCACTGACTATTTTAGCAATTGAAAGTCGAAGGAGTGATGCGCACATTTGACTGATAAATTGTCCCGGTCGATCGCCCGTAATTTAAAATCTCTGACACTTGGCGTCTGTTGGCGTTAGACCATTTATCAACCTAATTTACACAACACTTAATCAACACCAGAAGTCGAATTGAGTGATGTGTGTGCTTTCAAAAACTGCAGGTTTTTTTGTTCGACGTGTCTTCACTTTCAGCCATATTTGTTTACGGACACTCAGACGATCAATGCTGCTCTCTAATATTATGATGGCTCCCTTCACATTAACTTCTACTATGTCTCTTTTGTGTGCAGTCAGCACCGACAAAGGGGGTTTTATTCATCGAGTGGAATTCTGTCGCTGGTTTCCTTGTTATATATCTTCATAAGAGCTCTCTGTTGTAGCTTTGCCTCACCTGTTTCCACTTCGACTGAATCTGCAGGTACTGAAAATACATAACTGGAACTTTCGTTGTTGCACTTCAAGAACAATATTGGCGTCAAATTTGATTACTGTTGTGCCGTTGTTAGTATGTATTTTTCAACGAAAGCACACCAAAGACATTTTAATAATGCCAACGGCTGGCGCGCAAAATTGATGAAATGCCCGTAACGTTTTGTGGTCATTAACTTGCTAGTATTTGGCGAGGTAGCACTCTCTGACCAAATTATGAACAAAACGCGAGTCGACTAATGATCTATAACCATCGGCGTTATTACATAGACTTCTTACCGCCACTGCCTATGTGAAGATTTGCAAGTGAGTCTTCTGGTCGAAATAAGCCGCATGAGACGCATCTGTGCTACAGTTGCAATAGTTTCTGTTCTGTCCGCGTAGAAGTCTGCAATTGTTCATGAAAAGCTTGTAGTAGAGTCCACAGCAATGTCCCGGGGGTGCTGCGCTATCGGTCCACCATGGCAGGAATGTACAGTAAGTGCCCATGGACTAACTCATGAAATATCCACAGAAATTCCGA